TGTCCTATGCCTTTAAGGGCCACATCGACCTGAGAGATGATATAATCTTCAGGAATATGTTTCGGGGTGACAGCAAAATTTAGCCCTCTAGCCAGTACTGTTTTCAGATTGTCTGAAATCGGGGTGCTACTCTGATTAATGACGATTTTGTTAACGTCTAGTTTTGTTATATGTGGGACTGGGTTCTTCTTTGATAGGTGGTTGAATTTAGAAATCAGGTTAGCTTTGTATTTGACTGAAAGTGAATCGGCAGAAGAAGCAGTCATGTTGTCTACGTGGTTCCAATCAGAAGGTGACATTTTTTGTGTTTGCGTTAAATGAGCTTGTAGGAGAGTCCTGTATAAAGTATCATGTTCAAAACGGAGTAGTCTTATCCTCTCTGAGATTAAAGATAGGCTGGCCTCAAACAGAATCTGTTTAGAATTCGGTGAGGATACAGCAGCAGATGTGAGTGTGAAAGCGATGGGTATTACCTTGTGATCGCGGCATCTTTTGAGGAAGGTCAGCGTCTCGATGAGCTTTGACTTCTTGTCCCGTTGTCTGTTGAAAGCTCTAACAGATAGGTGAAAGCCCTACCCGTAGAGGTTATCAATTCTAGATTTGAAGCTTTCGTGACTGCAAGGATCCATACTCTTTGGTTATATTCGGTAAAGTCATGTAGGTAAAAATAAAATAACAAACATCACGACGAAGTTGGGATCTCTCCACGCTTCTTTGTGCACCGTTAAGTGTTTGTTCCATATTTTTGGGTCATGACCACCGCTGTTTTGTAACCATGTGTCACAGCAGGTAGTGCGCACTGATTGAAAACCTCATCGTCATCATGATCAAATTAAAATCAAGTACAGGCTTGAGCTGGTGTTCTGTCTCTCCCACACACGCTCAACCACGCGACAAGAACACAAAGACACACGCATGAACACACACAACCGTACGCCACACACAGGCACACATGCTTGAACACACACAACACGACACACAGAAACGCATACGTGAACCCACACACATACAACCACACGCACGTAAAGACAACAATAACCGCCATTCGCCACTAAGTGGCGGTGACGTCACCACGACGCTGGTGCCAGGCTATGTGCACGCTGAGGCCACGTGAAGTGTCGAACGCCCGCTGGCAGGAGGTCACGGGGCAGACCCAGGTGCCACGGGTAGACTGACTGAGATGACTGGCTGATGCACCACCTGTGCCCCCTACTGTGCCAACTTGCTGTGCTTTAGCCACCCGGCGCTCCGCTCGTTGTTGTGAGCGTCGCTCCTCCGCCCTCCGTTGTTGTTGGAGGGCGACTGCCTCCAACTGCCCGGTAGCGTCCTTCACGAGCCTCCTCCACAGAGGCCAATCTTGACACCGCTGGTACCATTCATCGGCAAGTCCACTCAGCTCCACGTCCTCCTGTACCACATCACTCCATCTCTTCTCTAGCCCGTGCCGCGCCCGTTTAGCCCCCTCAATCCGGCCGAACAAAAGCTGTTTAGGCATGCGGTGGCTGGGCATGCGGGCTACATGACCCAACCAACGCAGCCTTGCCTGCCGGAGGAGCTCACCGATGGGGCTTTGTCCAGGTCTTTCAAGGATACATGAGCTCACACAATCCAGCCTGGTTAAAGTGAGGATGGATCGTAGGCAGGCCAGCCTAAACGTTTCTAACCGGCGAAGATGTTCCATTAGGGGGGTCCACGTTTCGCAAGCGTAGAGAAGGGAGGGAATGACTGTGGCCGAGAAGACCTGAAGCTTCGTGCGGATCGACAGATCAGGTAGCTTCCACACAGCGTTACATAACCGATTAAAAGATAATGCAACTCGATTGATTCGGAGTGAGACCTCTGCTGTCAAACCAGAACCGGTCATGGGCACACTGCCCAGGTATGGGAAACTCTCCACTCTCTCCACAACTGCCCTATCACCAATTGGGAGTTGTGGGGGTGGAGTGTCCAATAGTACAAAATACCCAGGCAGGTGCTTAGTTTTGGTGGGGCTGATGGTAAGTCCCCACCTCTTAGTGGGAAGCTCTAGGTTCAGCATCAGCGCCTCCAACTCCTCCTCTGAGTGAGCAGCAATTACCAGATCATCGGCATACATAATATGGTTGAGCAATAGGGAGCCATCCCTTGACTGCCCTCGGGTATCGATCAGCCGAAAAATTGTATCTGTACCAGATGGAAATTCCTCCGGTACGGCTATTGAAAGCTTCACGAACTACGTGGTCGAAAAAGATGTTAAATAATGTGGGAGCCAGAGGACATCGCTGTCGCACCCCAAAATGAACAGGGAATGGCTTCGTCTACAGGCCAGGTAGTTTTATCCAGGCCCGCTCACCATCATGAAGGTCCTTTATGATCGTGAGCAGTGGGTCAGGGACTCAGAAGGCACGAAGAACAGCCCAGAGCCCAGGCCTACTGATGGTATCATAGGCCTTGACCAGGTCAATAAAGCAAAGATGTAGGTCTTGTTGGAATTCCCTACACCTCTGCTGTAACAGACGGAACAATATATGGCATCTGTGCAGAACCACCCTTTCCTGAAACCACATTGGGGCTCCGAAAGCCTCTCTTCAGCCTGCCTGGCAAGGTGATGTTGAATAATCCTTGCCAGGACCTTTCCCGGCACACTGAGGAGTGAGATGCCCCTGTAGTTGTTACAGTCTGTGCGGTCCCCCTTCTTAAAGAGGGGGACCACCAGGGCATCCTTCCAATTCTGCGGAACCCGTCCAGTGGTTCAGACTGTTGTTATGTCATGTAGGGCAGTGTGCACAAACGCCACCCTCCCTCAGCATTTCGCTTGGGAGATCATCTCTGCCGGTGTCTTTCCTGGTCTCAGGCTCTGGATCGCCTTCAGTACTTCCTCAACAAATGGCACCTCAGCCAACCACTCACAGGGGGTGACTTCCTATTCCAATATTTGAGGCACCGCAGCCTCAGCAGGGTCATCCCCACTTTGTCCCACGATGTTTTCCAGGCTGAGGGATTTCCCCTCCCCCAGAACCTCACAGAAATGCTCAGAAGATTTGCAAACCTGTTCCTGGGGGGTCGGAGATTGGATCACCGTTTTAACCCCTAATGATGGTAATAGGTGTGGCGCTGCAGGTTACTTTTTTGATGGAATTAAAGAGCGATTTGTGATCACGGGCCATTGAGGCAGACAAAGACACGCCTGAACACACACACAGCCACACGACACGCACAGACACGCACACATGTGAACACGTGCGTGAATATAAACACCCCGACAGCCATGTGTGTGTGTCTGGTGGGGTGTATAAGCATTGCCACTGGGAGACAAAGGCGGTCGGGCGTGGTGCTCGCCACCCACGCCCTTGTGTATTGTTCCGACCTTCATAGGTGCTCGCAAACAGCACTTTGCCCCAACAGTCTGCTAATAGGCTATACGGAGAGGTCTTTGTCTTGTATTCGTGTGCATGTGTGCGCCTCTCCCGCCACTTGCCCCCTGTGGCATTTCACAAACAACCGCTCACCTGCCCCGACCAAAGAGCCGAGCTCCCTTTGTCCTCACCATCTTTCCTTGTTTGTTGGTCCCAGCGCCGCGTGGCACAAACACGCAGCACACACATACACGACACGCACACATGCGACACACGCGCGGCACATGCACGGTCTTGTTGGAGCCGGGCAGGGGTGTTGTTGGCAGTTGTTCGCGAGCTCCGCTTGGTGTTTGTTCGAGCGTGGATGCACGCTCTTACACATGTCTCACGGGGGCGCCACTTTCGTAGCCGGAGGGCGAACGCGGGAGGAACGAGCGCGAATGCGCATTGCACGGACCGCCGGGCTCACGGGCTTGAACACGCTACGCGGAGTGTTCACAAACAACTTCCACCACGTAGATGGGGAGGACGATTCGCCTCCTTCCCATATCGTCGGTCCCTCCGCATTGAAAATGAAAGTTTTTTTAACACATCCCGTGAGCCACATGGCATTTATAGGAGTGCATAATGCACACCATTGTATCGGCTGCCGTACCGGCTATGGAACCGGTAAATCTATGCGCTGCTGCCCATGACACCAATTCTGGGGCAGCTCCCCGCATCTCTCAGCTGGAGAGACGTTTCGTCCATTGCTAGAGCCGGTTCTGTCTTGTGTGCCAAATCGCTCACTAGTTTTGACTGATCTTGCGTGCGTTTTAGCAGTGAAGCAGAACCGATTTGATTCTTCTGGGTGGACGGAGCCGTTGAGGGGGGGGAGGATTTAAGTTACCGGCACCGCTGTTTTTAAACTGCCGCACCGGGAGATGGCATCGAACTGGCGACCTCTGGATTGGCAGTCCGGCGTGCGCACCGTGACACCGCCACGGTGGCAGCCGAGTTTGTTTACAACGAGCGGCCCCGAGCCTCGTGGACCTCTGGACGGGAAGTCCCTGTGACTCGGCGAGCCTCCCTCAACGCGAATGGGAGAAGCCCAGGAGAAGTCGGAGCCGGCGTGGGGTTCGGTGAACTGGAGCAGTCAGAGACTGGAATGCGTGAAGGCGGACGTGATGGTTCTGTAACTGGAGTTTTCTGTGAACAGTTTTTAAAAATAATTTGACCGAGCCATGTTTGGTCACAGGAAATGTATTTTGATTAATATTATTGTCAGGTTGTAAGCACTGTTTTCAATATCACCTATTCTGCAGTTGTTATGACTTGGGATTTCTATTTGCTTGACTGTGGTGTGATGAGATGGTATGATGGTGTGGTGAGATGGTGTGGTGAGATGGTGTGATCAGGTGATATGATTGTATGTATGTACGTCCAAATTATTTCTCACCGTACGTATATCGCGTGCGGTGTGATGGCCATGATAAGCCTGTGAGCTTTTTGAGCAGATTAATGTCAGCTGCCGACTAACACCGGCCCTAGCCCTACTCCGTTGCCCGCCGAGTTGCCACGGTCACCCGTGGTCTGTAAAACGTGTTGCCCGGCGACCGTTGCTGGCGGCGATCGCTTTGACCTCTCTCCACCTCTCCCCCGCTCCTCCCTGCCACGCCGGCGCAGGCACCAGTTCTACCTCCACGTGCGAGAGGAGCTGCGGCTAGGCCGGCTGGTGTGCCGCGACGATAGCGCCGTGAGGCTGGCGGCGTTAATTATGCAAGCCGAAGTGGGCGACCACGGCGCCCTGCGCGGCGGCAGCAACAACGACAACGCCGCTGCCGTCTACGACCGCCTGGGCGGCGCCGATCCCGCCAGGTGAGACGCAGGGCGCTCGACGGTCCGCGGCGCAGCTTGCCAAACCTTCCCTCTCCTCCCGCCGCGTGACGGTGTGGCCGGCGCTCACCGCTCGGCGTCCCTCTCTCTTCCCATTTCCGCCCTCCCTCAGCGTGTCCGAGTCGCACCGCGCCCTTGGCGGGTGCTCGCGTGCCACGGCAGAGTACCGCGCGCTGCAGGAAGCGGCCGCCCTGCCGGGGTTTGGCGTGGAGTGGCACTCGGTGTGGGACGACGCCGGGCGGCGCCGCCTGCTCGGCGTGGGCTGCGACGGCGTGGCGGTGTGCGAAGCCGGCGTGGCGCCGTGCGGCGACGGCGCGACCCGCGTCCCCCTGCGGCGGTGAGCGACCTCGGTGAAAATCGTCAGCGCGGCACCTGTTGATGGCGCCGGTTGGTTTTGACCCGGTTAGAATAATTTGGCTTGAAAATCTTTCGAGATGGGGGGGGGCATCTCTCCCGCTCCGGTGTCAAGCGCGTAATCGCATGCTCGCACGCACAAAGATCCCCCGTGTGGGGGCAAGTGCTGTGAGCGAGCACCTCATGCAGGCCGGCACGGCACACCATGGGGTGGGTGGCCAATACCACGCCCGACCGCCTTTGTCTTCCAACTGGCGATGTTTACGCACCGCAAGGCTCTCCGCACACACATGTACACACGCGTACACAAGCATACACAAGCGTATGCACGTGCACACATGTAGACGCGTACACACACGTTAGCATCCGTCACTCGCACTGCATGCATATTTACGAACCACACCCAGTCAATAATTCGCACAAGTCTAGAAATGTCTGGGGTAAAGTGTGGGTATGCCACCTTCAGACATGTCTGGTGCCACTCTGCGTTGTGACTCTGCGGTGCGACTCTGGGTTGCCTCTCCGCAGTGCAGGATTCCGTTCCCCACAATCCACGCAGCCACGCAGTCCAATAAGCGCGTCGTGTTCGCGGTGCTGGGCGACGGCGTCGAGCCCGAGGAGACGAGGTTCCGGCTCGTGAGCAGCCACGCAGCAAACGGGCTGTACCGGGCCGTCACCGAGGCCCACGCCTTCTACCGGTGAGTGCTACGCCCGTGCGTGTCGTGCGTGTCGTGCGTGTCGTGCGTGTCGTGCGTGTCGTGCGTGTCGTGCGTGGGAGATGTGAGCGTGATGTGCGAGTGCCATTGTGTTCGTGACAAAGTGGATCGAGCCTGGCACAAGCACTAGTGACTTCACCATCACTTTGTGGTGAATGACGCCTGTTGTGTGTGCGTGCAAGGTGTGCGTGTGTGCGTGTGTACCGGCTGGCACAGTAGGCAGCACGGGTAGTGCATCTGCCAGTCGTCTGGACTTGTGATCCTGAGGTTGCCGGTTCGACATCTTCTGGCTCAGCAGTGGAAACGTGGAACGTTTCTCAAATCTCCCCCAAAAAAACAGTGTAAATGGGTTCACTGCAGTTAGTTGGTAGGTATGTTGTGTGTGATGGGGTAAAGCGTGGGTACTTCCACCTCTGCCAAGACATCCGGGCAGCGTGCAAGGGTCAAACAAAGCAAGTGGTTGCAGGGCCGCGCCTTTGGCCATACCGTTACGCGCGAGGTGACCGCGGCGCGGTGTGCGGCCCCAGGTGCGACACGGTGAACGACGCGGTCACAGCGCAGTACAGCCGCGACTTCAAGGGACACCTGGCCTCGCTGCTCCTCAGCGAAGACATCGACCTTGGCAAGAGATTCGTGTTCGACATCCGGCGAACCTGCAAGGTGCGGCAGCTTTCCCCGCGGGGGGCGGGGAGGGGTGGAGGGGTTGTGATTCACGAATCGTGTCTGATTAAAACATATCTGTGCTTAACTGCCATACTGCAGGTCGCAACTCACTCATTCATCGACTCGCTCACTCAATCACTTACTCAATCACTCACTCAGCTGCTCACTCAATCGCTCACGCACCAACCCATCCACATACCCACCCTCTCGCTCACATTCTTACTCACCCATTCAATCATTCACCCACTCAATCACTTACCCACCCATTAATATACAATCACCCGCTCGCTCACACACTCACCCACTCAACCACCCACTCAATCACTCGCCCATCCATCGACATACTCGTTCACACACTCACCCACTTGCTCACCATGCAGCAGGTCACTCCACTTCTCTTTGTACTTCTTCCCTCACACTGCTCACCTCTGGAATTCCTTTCCATCGTCTCTTGTTTCTCTCAAGAAATGCGTTATCTACTCTTATCAATTGCAACTCTTAGTTCTTTGTGTTGCTGGCCATTTGACGTTTTGGACTGCACTCAGATGGTGGTGATGATGAAGGTGGTGATGGCGGTGATGATGATGATCGTGGTGAAAATAATGGTGGTGGTGATGGTAGTAATACGGCGTGTGATCCCCATCACCGTCGCCAGGAGGTGTACGACCATTGCCGGCGACAGCTGTACCACACCGCCGTGGTGGGCGACGAGGGGACACCCAGGCCGGCGGGGAGGGGCACGCCGGGAGGGTGCTCCCCGGGGGCCACAACGGTGGAGGACACCGGCACCTGCGAGCCGTGTCCATCCCCCCCGGCGTCTCTGTCTGCGCCCCCCACGCCCGCCCAGCGCCGCCGCGACATCCAGCAGGTGGGAGATTGCTTCGGCGGCCGCACCCACATGGCAACACCCGCATATGGTAACGACAGCCTCGTGGCAAAAACACCAGCACGGCAAGACCGACGGAGCAAATCAATCTTGGATGAAAGTCGGCGCTCGCCGACACCCACCGGCCCCGACAGTGCAGCGCTCCCGGGGTAACCTTGGTGCCGCATGTGTGCGCGTGTGGTCCGGTGCGTGTGCGTGCGTGTTTGCGTGCGTGCGTGCGTGCAGCTGGAGGAGCGGCTGCGTGCGCTGCAGGAGGCGATGCTGTGCAGCGCGTGCTGCCACGGGGACATCGATGCTGCGTTCTGCCCCTGCGGCCACATGGTGTGCTGCCGCGGCTGTGCCGCGCGCCTCCGGGTCAGTGCGTCTCGCCCCCCCCCACCCCCCTTACCGCTCGTCACGGTCGCAGGGGAATGTCCCACGCCTCAAATGAGCACTGAGGCATCGGCGATCCATCTCCCGTTCGCAGCCCTGCGGAGTCGGTGGCGGAAATCCACATTCCTGTGGCAGGGGACGAAGTCTATTGAGCGCCCAGCCTCCCTGTCGACTTCCCCGCCAAGTGGCGCTCGTTTGTATGAACCCCGCGATGGAGTGATGATGGGCCGCTTGAACTCGCGACCTCCCACAACTGTGAGCCCGCTGAGCCCCGTCGGCCGGTTGAGCTGCGGCCGTGCGAGTCGTGAGGATAACTGGGGCCCCGTTGTTCTTCCCTGCGCGATCGATAAAATCGTCACCGCTTTGCCAGGAAGTCGACAGTTGTCCTATGGATAGAGATCACTCCCGTTGTAGGAACGTGGAATTTCCACCACTGGCCCAATGCTGTAAATGAGAGATGAACACCGACTCAGTGCAGCGCTCTGACCTCTGACCCTTGAGTCAGGAGTGCAAGCTAGCCCACACAAGCACCGGGTGCACGCTAACAGCACTTGCCCTATCGGTCTGCTGAGGCTACACAGGGGATCTTTGTCTTTTTCTTGCCCGCAGGCCTGCCCCTTGTGCCGCTGCGATGTGGACCGCGTGCAGCACGTCTTCCTGCCGGTGTGTCCCAAGCTTCTACGCCTCAACTCCGAGCTGTAGCCTCGCCACTCGCCGTTCACCCTCGCCACTCTTCCTCGCCCTCACCCCTCACCGCTCGATTCGACCTCCTCCACGTCTTGCCGTCGAACAAAGAAACTCAAAAAGCGTCTTGGACTGAATTCCGCGCGGCCTTCTCCGTCGACTGGCCGTGTGAGATCTCGAGAGACTCGTTTGCAACGCGGCGAGACGCCCCTCCCCCATCCATGTCTGGCTGGTTCCAGGACTCGCAGCACGTCGCCGTGCGTCTGCGAGAGACTTGGCGGCAGTGACGACGGTGGCGGCCGCCTTGCAGGGGAAACCGCTGCTGGGCGCGGCGGTTGTGTCGTGCTACGGAACCCGCCACTGCCGCCACTGCCGCCACTGCCGCCACTGCCGCCACTGCCGCCGTTGCGGCCGTTGCGGTCACGGCGGTCGTCCCTCCCAGCAGCTTGAACTGACGCAGTGCGTTTTTCAAGCGCGAAGCGCCCGAGCGCAAAGTGCAGCGAAGAGTCGGAGCACGTTTTGACGAGCGACGTCTCGAGAAAAGTGGTCGCGGAAGACAGAGGAAGAGTTCTAGATAAGTGTGGAGAAAATCCATGGTCGCTTCTTGCCTTGACACGGTGGGCCCTGTGCCCTCCCAACTCCCACCAGTTTGCGTACCACGGCACCGTGGGAAACGCTCAACCTGGGCGTCCGGCTGTTCCACACCAGCAGGTGTCGGGAAGAGACGCCAGAGAGAGAGACACGGGAGCCGTCGCTGGTTCCGTTCGTCCTGAGTTGATGCGCTTTCACCGGCCTTGCCCAGCAGATGACGGGAACCCCTCTGAAGCTGATGTTTTCGAGGTGTCGCGTCCGCTCTCTCTACAAGAGCCGCCCTCCCATCACGTGTTTGTCCGTGCCCGGGCCGTCCCGTGTGTAATACAAAATGATCTTTCAGCATCGTCACGGAGAACGCGAGGAACAATAAATCGCCGGACAATTTGCCTCCTTCCTTATCTGGCTCTCTACAAACAATACAAATGCTTTCACACATCCCATCAGCTACGAGGTATTCTTTCTGGTTGTGTGTATCAGAATCAGAATATTTATTTATATTGGAGGAATCCGATGAGCTAGAAAGCTCTTTTGCACAGATGTCAGTTACAATATCAAACGATACAAAAACACAATAGTGAAAAGCATAGGTAAGGTAAACAAATCACTTAAATAAATATACAAATACAACTAAACTAGTTTTATTTTACCAGGCAAAGTCCACTGAGCTATTAACCTATTATTCAGAAGTGACCTAGCCACAAATGATAGCTCAACAGTGGCTTATCAATCTGGAAGTTGATTGCAGAAAAGTAATCTAAATAATCTGCACCGTTCTAAAGATTCAATGTCTCCTCAGGGTTTTTGTAAACCAATGCACTGCTGCACTGCCCAGACCGTCTCTGTCATTCGTTTGATTAACGGATAGCGGACTCTACTACATCACTCCATCACTGGCGAGGAGAGGGCGAGATCACCTCCATGACGGTATCCATGCTGCCTCCCCCTCACACGGGTACAGGTTGGCTTAGCGGTGCCACCCGCAGTGGCGAAACGAGCCGCGTTGACGATCGACCGATTCACAAAACTATAAACACGCCACCGATTCCCACCGAGAGAGAGATCATGGCAGCTGGCGAAACAATGCGACGGACAAATCCACTGCCGTGCGCTGCTGTTACAGGATCCCCCTCGGCCTGCGTTCTGACTTTGGTGGCCAAGACGCACGTGTGACTATTAACATTTCTGTTTTATTTGGTTCACATTTTTATTGAGTTTTGTGCGTGGTTCCTGATTTCTGAGTTGCGCACAAAAGTCTTAGACTAATTTTTATTAAAGTGTTTTTTTTTTACTGAACCTGGGGCGCCGCTTCCAACCGGGTTCCCTCCTCGCAGGCAACTTTTGGTGTCACCGCCATGCCGAGCAGCCTTCGGGTCGTGTCCGCGACTCTGCTGCGCGTCTAGCGGTCTCAGTGGGGGAGGGGGTGGGGTGACACGCGTCCGCGACGCTGTTGTGCCACGTAGACGTCACGTTTGTGCGACTTGGCGATCGCCAAGAGTGGAGCGTGGAGGGAGCCGCAGCGTTGGGAGTCTCCTCTCTCGGCAGAACAATTCCCGACGGGGTTTTTACGACGTTCTGGTTCCATTCGGTGGTCAAAGTGTCACGACAGAATTGCTGGGTATGGCGGCTGTTCATCCAGCAGCTTATGTTCACCGACTCGCACGCACGCTCTCACGCATCTCGCTCGATCACATCTCGCTCGCTCACTCTCACACGCTCGCTTATGCCCTCGCCCACTGATGCCCTCTCACACGCACCCTCACACACAGTCACACACGCACCCTCACATGCTCAGTCACACATGCAGCCACGCACCCTCACAGATTCGCACGCACAGTCACCCATGCGCACTCGCCTGCAACCTCCCACTCACTGCCGTTTCCCCTCTGCGGAAACGTCGCGGCATAGGAATGGGAGCACGCTCCCACCACCACGCTTGCGTGGTCACGTGACTATTGCCGTTGCTTGGTCACGTGCTGGTTCAGTGGTCACGTGACGATTGCGATTGTGTGGCGTCGATCCAGTCGGGGCAGCTGCGAAACCCTTCGTCCCATCCGCCACTCTTGCCCCGTTCTTTCTCTTTTGCGATGCACACTTCCGCTGTTACACTTCTCGGTCCTCCCTTCTTGGCTTGGCGGAGCCTCTTGCAGGACACTTTGAGTGTTATTGTTTTATTGCCAATGTGGTTTTTTGTTTTGTTTTTATATTTAACGGTGTAATAAAGTTCACTTTAGCCTTTTCAAGATGTGACGGAAGATACTGTTGTGTCTTATCCAATGCAACCGGCACCACGTTGCACCACGTGGTGCATGACTGAAGTGAGTTTTTGTGACAAACGAACTGCCAGGCTCTTGGTTTCCTTTCGCGATCCGTCCCCGGTGGCTCCTCGCGGGAGCGATCGGCGCGCATCAGAAAGTTGCGACTTCAAAACCTGGTTAGGAGAGTTGACTCGGCCCATCATCTCTGCGGGGTCGATAAAACCAGTACTATTTTGTGTGTGGGCGGGAAGTTAACGGTGGTTTCCTGTGGATGGACTTTCCCCTGCCAAAGAAATGGAATTTCCACCACTGACTGCATTGCCGTGAACAGGAGATGAGCACCGTTTCAATGCTTATTTGAGCAGCAGGGAATCTGACTTTTTGCCGTTTAACAGCCGTGTCCTTTATGAGCCATGGTTCATTGTTATGGAAGTGTTGGGCAAATTCCACGACTGATTCTGAACCAAGGTTTCCCGAAAACTCTCGCCATGCAAACTCAAAACTCCGCACAGAATGGATTCAAGAATCCATTGAGTCATAGCCACCCGAGGTGTCACTCGCGTGTTTTGCCAATCTTGCGTGAAACTTTCCTGTGCTGTGGCTCGCAGACGACGACCGGTTGAAATCACTTTCCTGCCAATTATGAAAATTGAACGTGGGGACATCGTGGCCACTGCGATTTTGGCTGGCGACGGGGAGACGGGGGAAGAGGGGTCGGGCAAGCGTGGGGCTATAATTATCGCTGCGAGAGCAGGGCAGAGGTGAGGAGGGGGGGTGGTACCGCGTTGGATCCCGACGCGTGGTGTGCGAGAGGCGCGAATTGAAACTCGGTGGCGAGGGCGGAGGAGGCGCTAAACGCTCCAGGCGGTGTTGATTTCCTGCGCGCGCCCCTCGTTCAATTTCCGTGAGAGTGGTGGTGACGGCAACAACCATTCGGTGGTTTCACTTTTTGTTGTCATTCTCCATTGTATGTGAAAGCATTTCGCCATTGACCCACCGTGTCGGAGAACGAACCCCGGGGAAGAGGATATCGCAGAGCTACCGCTAAGACGCCTTCTCGAAGTGACCTCCGGTCCACACGCAGTGGGGTGCGGCGCTCTCCCCGCTCGCTCTGCGTGCAAGAGTAGCAGTGGTCGCAGCCGATATTTCAATTCTCAGACCGGGAATTTAGCCAAATAAAAGTGCAGATGCCGATGACCGAGACTGAGGCCGCCGACTCCGCTATACTTCACCCGGTTTAATCACAGGCAGCGCCTTGAAACCCGGATTCGAACCCAGGTACCTTGGTGGTGCCGGTGCGGCGCTCTGACCTCTAAGGCACCGGCCACCTCGCTCCCTATCGGTAACGATTGTTGTATGCATGTGTGTGGCGCGTGTGAGGCTTGCTGGATGCGTGTGTGTGATGCGTGTGGAGCCGTAGTGTAGTGGTCAATGCACTGCACGGCGACCGGAGTTGGATTCCCGTTCACGACCAATAACAGTGACGACGGTTTGACCCAGTCCTGGGCCTACCCGAGCTCGACTGCTCAAAATGAGTAGCTGGTGCCGTGGTGTGTAGTAAACATCAGCACTCGGGAGACAAAGGCAGCCGGGCGTGGTGCTGGTCACTCAACCCTTGTGTGCCATGCTGGCTTTCATCGGTGTACTCGCTAACAGCATAACCGTGGTTCTTTCGGTAAAGTCACGTAGAAAATAAAAATAATAGCGAAAGCCCCACGACGTTTCGATCGCAACACAAACTTCGTGGGTTTTTCGCTTTTATTGTATTTTTTGTTTAATTTTATTATTTTATTTTCTTTCTACGTGACTTTACCGAAAGAATCAAGAATATGAATTCCTGCAATCACGAAAGTTAAGTCGCTAACAGCTAAAGGCTACACGGCTGATCTTTGTGTACACAAGTGTGTCTACACAAGTGAGTGTGTGTCTACACAAGTGAGTGTGTGTCTACACAAGTGAGTGTGTGTCTACACAAGTGAGTGTGTGTCTACACAAGTGAGTGTGTGTCTACACAAGTGAGTGTACGTGGCATTCCAGTGATGTAGCAGGACCCTCCTGAACAGCACTCTACAGACTCCCGCGTGGCTCTCCTGAATGGACGATGGCTGCTCGATCGCAGGAGTGGAAATTCTGTTGATGTTGATGCGCGTGTGAATCTGTTAGTGCTGGCCCAAGGACTCTCTCGGGTTCCCTGGACCAAGAGAGGCCGGGAGGGGGGGGGGGTAGTGGGGGGGGGGCTGTGACGCACGGGGCCCCACCTGTTCCCTGTCCGCCACGCGCCTTTCCTAATTCAGCCCGAGCCTCGTGGCCCAATCACAGCCCCCCTCGAGCATCCCAGCCCCAACCCCCGTCTTGTCCTGCTCATGTTGCCCCAGCACCAGCTCGGGGAGCTGGCTGACCCCTGCAATCTCCCCCTCTCTCCCTGCGTCAATCACCTCTCTTGCTTCACCCATCACTACCCAGCACATCTCTCGCTACACCCATCACTATCCAGCACCATCACCTCTCGCTACACCCATCACTACCCATCACCTCCCTACACCCATCACTACCAAGCACCATCGCCTCTCTCGCTACATCCATCACTACCAAGCACCATCGCCTCTCGCTATATCCATCACTACCAAGCACCATCACCTCTCTCGCTACACCCATCACTACCCATCACCTCTCGCTACACCCATCACTACCCAGCACCATCACCTCTCTCGCTATATCCATCAATACCCATCACCTCTCGCTACACCCATCGCTACACCCATCACCTCTCTCGCTACACCCATCACTACCCAGCACCATCACCTCTCTCGCTACACCCATCACCTCCCTACACCCACCACTACCCAGCACCATCGCCTCGCTACACCCATCACTACCCATCACCTCCCTATACCTATCACTACCCAGCACCATCGCCTCGCTACACCCATCACCTTCCTACACCCATCACTACCCAGCACCATCGCCTCTCTCGCTACACCCATCACCTCTCCCAACACCCATCACTACCCATCACCATCATGATCACCATAATCATCGGTGCTACGACCATTAATTACATCAGTCAAGACTTCATTTAAAGGTGGACGTATTAAGTCATTCGCATAGCTACAGGCTGCGCGATTCGTCTTCCGGAACAGCCACATACACTAGACGTACACGCCACACAGAAAACGTACACACACAACACCAACACGCGTAACCCAATCATCCCGCATCTCCTCCACGTGGAGTTGATTCCAGGCGTAGCTATTACGCAATCATCGCCATCACCATCGTCAACAGTGACGACCACCATCACGTGGATAGCCAACATCACGACCAGCACCATCACCACCGTCTATTAACATCACTACACTTACCACCATCACTACTATCACTGTTGTAACTTATTACCATCCAGTCATCGCAACCACTCTCCCACTTGTCATACACGACTACTATCACCCCATCCACTATTTGACCATCATCGTTAACATCATCATCAGCACCCCTGCCTCCCAACTCCCCCGCCTGTCAAGTCCACCACCATCCACGACGTTTAAACTGACCATCACCACCATCATCACCCAACCCGACTATCGCCATCTCCTACAACCCATCATCCACGGCCCCAAGCCTACGACCACCACCCAAACCACATCACCGCTACTGCACCACCCAGCACCACTCAGCACTATCACCCAGCACCACCCAACACCACCACCCAGCTCCCAGCACCACTCTACACCACCGTTACCTCCCACTACCACCCACCACCGCCGCTGCCCGCGTCGTCTCGGGGCTTACAGAGGCCGCGCCGCTCTCGCCGGGCGGGGCTCCTCGCGATGCCGCAGCTCGAGCCGCTGGGAGCAGCAGCAGCAGGAGGATGGTGGTGGTGGTGGTTGACAGCTGGCTGTGTCGTGGCGCTGGGGGCCGCCCGCTGGCGCTGGGGGCAACAGCGCGGTCTGCGGGGGGGTCGGGAGCCCGGGACTCGGCGTTCCGCGGGGGCTCGCGGACACGGGGCCACCACGCACGCGTGCGTAGAGGTGAGTCGGGGGTGGGGGTGGGTGTGGGTGCGTGCGTAGAGGTGAGTCGGGGATGGGGGTGGGTGCGTGCGTGCGTGCGTAGAGGTGAGTCGAGGGTGGGGGTGGGTGTGGGTGCGTGCGTCGAGGTGAGTCGGGGATCGGGGTGGTGGTGGGTGGGGTCGTGGCCGTGCGATGACGGAGGTCGCCGAGCGCAGGCCCCGTGCTGAGAATTGACGCGAGTCGTGATTTAGGGGATTGATTGCTGCACGAGCTTGAGAGCGAGAGACCATTGCAACGTGGAGCACAAAGAGACGTGTCGAGTGACCTGCAGTATCCTGAGGGAGTGGGTCAGTGCAAGGGTGAGGTGGGTGGGAGGGTGCGTGGGTGAGTGAGAATTTCAGCTGTTTGTGTTTTACACGAAAACGCAACTTTACCCCTTCCTGGCCAGACATCTCCCCCCCACCCCCATTTCAAAGTGAGCGCTGGAGAGGCACCGTCACAGCCCCCCCCCCCCCCCCCCCCTGGGCTCGAGTTGCGAAGTTGTAAAACGCACGGAAAGACGACGGCTGTTGCCAAGGCGCGTGTAAATGTGTCCGGAATGCGCGAATGAAAAGTCTCACCTCTCCAATTTCGCCAGCGCCGGTGAAAATGTGCCGACGGAATCTCCCGAGGTACACGGAGTGACCGCGTGAGGCTGGGCCCCTGTAAGGGGACCCCGTGAAAACAAACCCCGGGGGAGCAAGAGGGGACTGAGAGCGCCTTGCGACTCCACGCGCTCGCGAAGCGCCAGAACCGGCGCTTTGCAACCTCCTCCCGCTTCCGTCGCCCGTGAGACCCTCTGCGGTTTGGTGTCGGAACCCGCGAATCCAAGTCCACGAGGGGCCTGTGGCACGCGCCGCCGGAAGGTAGAACCCAAAAGAGGCGGCCGCCTGTTGCGGAGAGATGGGTGTGGGAAGAAGGGGAATCGATGATTTGTATTGTCACGTGGGCAGTATAACCATCAGCAGCAGCAGCAGCCATGGTCTATTCACGTCTGGATGAGCGTCTCCCACGCCGTCGTCTTGTAGAGAAGTGACAGCGGCGTCAATGCCACGCGTTGCCGTGCGTGCCAGCTAAGACGCTCCTCCTGTAAACAACTCCACGATGCCTTCCTTGGGAGTCGGAGGACCCGCGCGAGTTTGAAACTTCTTACGAACCGCGGCGGGCTTGGGCAGCACGCGTGGCTACTGGCTTCGCCAGGTGCGAGAGGGAGGGCAGTGGCACACGGGTGGTAGGGAAAGGTGGCACGAGGTCGAGAGGGCGACTACCGCAGGGAGGGAGCGGTGGGACGAGGCGGAATGGTAGCACCACGTGACGGTGAGCAGTGGCGGCGACTTGGGAAGGCCTTCATCGAGCAGTAGATCGTCTATGGCTGACGTGTGGCACCACCACCACCGTGTACACTTTCACCTGCGTCACCACCGCCGTCTATACGAAGGGTCCATGCTGAGCTACGTCAGCGGTTCGTTCCTCCCATCGTCTCGCTTGTCACTGGCACGACAGGATGGCGGTGGGGGGGGGGGTATGTAGGTGGTGGGGGTGATGGCGGCGCAAATGGTGGTGGTTGTCATCATATCTTTTCATGGTTACTGATGATGCTTCGTGACGGCGCATATGAGTTTTCGTGCATTGTAGCGAGTATGGTGGGTGGGTGAGCAGATTGGTGAATAAGTGAGTTGGTGGGTTTGTGGATGGATGAGCAGGTGGGTCGGTCAGGGGGGTGAATATCGCACCACCGAATCGCACCTCCAATTAGCACGGTTGGAAACGTACGGTGCGAAAGAAGTTCAACATACATGCATACGAATAGGTGAGTAGGTAGCAGGTGGGTGGATGGGTGAGCGAGCGAGTGAGTGAATGGGTGAGCGCAGTAAATGGGCGAGCGAATGGGTGATCGGGCGAATGTGTGGGTGGATGGGTGAGTGGTAGAGTGGGTGGATAGGTGGATGGGTGAGTGGTAGAGTGGGTGGATAGGTGGATGGGTGAGTGGTAGAGCGGGTGGATAGGTGGATGGGTGAGTGGTAGAGCGGGTGGATGGGTGAGTGGTAGAGCGGGTGGATGGGTGGATGGGTGGGCGGGGCGGCGGGGTGGGCGAGGGGGGGGGGTGAATCGTGGTGCCGCGGCGCGGCTAAGTGCGGCGTGACGACGTTGAGTGGCTGCTGGCACAAACATTCTCGCATTGTTCCGATGCCACTTCCCGTGACGCGGCTGTCGGGGACGCGGGCACGGCGGCATTAAGATGCCTCCCGGCGTCTAAATTTGTCCACTGGCCAAGGACGGCGGCACCGGACTCCCTCTGCCCCCCCCTCTCCGCGGTGTCACGACCGCTCGCTGCGTCCTGCGCCCGGAGAGGAGCGGAGACGCTCGCGGCTCCGCTGGGCTCCGCTGGGCTCCGAGCCGCGCGACTTTCCGCAGCTCCGCTCAGCCGCCTCGCGCCTCGCCCGGCTGCCGGGAGTTGGCGCGGTGTAATTCGCGCGGCAAGGATAGCCCCAGCGTCTCGGGGTGTTCCATCAGCGGTATCCGTTTAATAACTGTAAAGTAATAATTATAACAATCAAAGTTCTTTTAATGTAGAACTGCCTATTTGCGTTGGGTTTATTGACCTCCCCACCACCCGAACCTCCGACTATCACTACGTACCGTGCGACAGAAGTTCAACCACAAACATTATAATTATAATAACAATCACCACCCAACCACCGCGCCGAGAGACGCCGGCAGGCGGCATGGCGCGCAGGGACAGTCTGGTGAACTCCCTGGCGCGGGTGTTCGAGGTGAACGCCCAACTCGCGCGGCCGACGCCCGTGGGGAACGGCCCTCGCAAGGTCTTCTCCATGAGCCGCCAGAACTCTGTGGAGAACATCCACTCGGTGGACGTGAAGCTAGAGGGCCTCTGTCGCCGCGTGGACAAGCTCGTGAGCGGCCAGGACAGGGTGCTGCTCAAGCTGGAGGAGATCGCCCGCGACCTGGGCGACCTCGAGCGGGAGGTGGAGGCGCTCAAGGTGGACAAGGAGGAAATTAAATTGCCCGCGCCCGACGTCGGCCAGGACGCCGCCAGGGAGACGAAGACGTTTCAAGAGCAGATGATCGGCGCGGTGGAGAAACTCGTCTCGAGCGCCGAGTCTCAGAGCAAGAAGATAGAGGCCCTCGACAGAGCCATGGTCGGCTTCCAGCAGATCATTGGCTTCTTGGGCGACACCTTCAAGAACTCAAAGGTGGTGGAGTTTATCACGCAGGGTTTCCTTCCCGGCGGAGGGGACACGGATGGGGGCGACGCTTCTAATCGGGTAAAAGCTACGTCGCGGTTTTGCTTTATGTTAAGATGAAAAGTGACATGGTGAGGTGCGTGCCCAGAGGAGGAGTGGGTGCACACCCGTACATGCTATGAGGGGGGTGGCGGAGTGAACACGTGTGTTGTCTTGACCGAGGACTCAGTTTGGCGGACCTAGTCTTTAGCATGATGGGTGGGAGAAATAACGAGTGAAGTTCACGGGAACAGCAACCACGGGCAGTAGTAGTGATAGAGAGCGATAAGGTGGCGACTGACCGCTGGGTCAACGGTCACCCTCACTAACCACTGAGTCTCCGGTCACCCTCACAGACCGCTGGGTTAACGGTCACCCTCACTGACCACTGAGTCACCCTCACTGACCGCTGGGTCAATGGTTACCCTCACTAACCGCTGGGTTAATCGTCACCCTCACTGACCGCTGGGTTAATCGTCACCCTCACTGACCGCTGGGTTAATCGTCACCCTCACTAACCGCTGGGTTAATCGTCACCCTCACTGACCGCTGGGTTAACGGTCACCCTCACTGACCGCTGGGTTAACGGTCACCCTCACTGACCGCTGGGTTAACGGTCACCCTCACTGACTGCTGGTTTAATCGTCACCCTCACTGACCGCTGGGTTAACGGTCACCCTCGCTGACCACTGAGTCACCAGTCACCCTCGCTGACCAATGAGTCACCGGTCACCCTCGCTGACCAATGAGTCACCGGTCACCCTCGCTGACCACTGAGTCACCGGTCACCCTCGCTGACCACTGAGTCACCGGTCACCCTCGCTGACCACTGAGTCACTGGTCACCCTCGCTGACCACTGAGTCACCGGTCACCCTCGCTGACCACTGAGTCACCGGTCACCCTCGCTGACCACTGAGTCACCGGTCACCCTCGCTGACCACTGAGTCACCGGTCACCCTCGCTGACCACTGAGTCACCGGTCACCCTCGCTGACCAATGAGTCACCGGTCACCCTCGCTGACCAATGAGTCACCGGTCACCCTCGCTGACCACTGAGTCACCGGTCACCCTCGCTGACCACTGAGTCACCGGTCACCCTCGCTGACCACTGAGTCACCGGTCACCCTCGCTGACCACTGAGTCACCGGTCACCCTCGCTGACCACTGAGTCACCGGTCACCCTCGCTGACCACTGAGTCACCGGTCACCCTCACTGACCACTGAGTCACCAGTCACCCTCACTGACCACTGAGTCACCGGTCACCCTCGCTGACCACTGAGTCACCGGTCACCCTCGCTGACCACTGGGTTAACGGTCACCCTCGCTGACCACTGAGTCACCGGTCACCCTCGCTGACCAATGAGTCACCGGTCACCCTCGCTGACCACTGAGTCACCGGTCACCCTCGCTGACCACTGAGTCACCGGTCACCCTCACTGACCACTGAGTCACCAGTCACCCTCACTGACCACTGAGTCACCGGTCACCCTCGCTGACCACTGAGTCACCGGTCACCCTCGCTGACCAATGAGTCACCGGTCACCCTCGCTGACCACTGAGTCACCGGTCACCCTCACTGACCACTGAGTCACCAGTCACCCTCGCTGACCACTGGGTTAACGGTCACCCTCGCTGACCACTGGGTTAACGGTCACCCTCGCTGACCACTGGGTTAACGGTCACCCTCGCTGACCACTGAGTCACCGGTCACCCTCGCTGACCACTGAGTCACCGGTCACCTGCTATCTTCAATTCGTGCTTTGCTCCGAGCCATAAGACGGCAAAAACAGCACGCAGCCCAGATGAGTTCCTCCGCAGGGCCCACTCGAGAAGGCAGTGGCGGTAAGACGTTGGTGGTGAAGGAAGTGGCGGTAAGACGTTGGTGGTGAAGGAAGTGGCGGTAAGACGTTGGTGGTGAAGGAAGTGGCGGTAAGACGTTGGTGGTGAAGGAAGTGGCGGTAAGACGTTGGTGGTGAAGGAAGTGGCGGTAAGACGTTGGTGGTGAAGGAAGTGGCGGTAAGACGTTGGTGGTGAAGGAAGTGGCAGTAAGACGTTGGTGGTGAAGGAAGTGGCGGTAAGACGTTGGTGGTGAAGGCAGTGGCGGTAAGACGTTGGTGGTGAAGGCAGTGGCGGTAAGACGTTGGTGGTGAAGGAAGTGGCGGTAAGACGTTGGTGGTGAAGGCAGTGGCGGTAAGACGTTGGTGGTGAAGGAAGTGGCGGTAAGACGTTGGTGGTGAAGGAAGTGGCGGTAAGACGTTGGTGGTGAAGGAAGTAGCGGTAAGACGTTGGTGGTGACTCCGCCCACTCGTTCGCTTGCCCCGCCCACTCGTTCGCTTGCCCCGCCCACCCCGCTTCTAGCGCGGCGCGTGGAAGTTGATGGCTGCGTTTGTTGATACGGTGGTGAGATTTCACCAAACGTTTGGCCAAAAACCTGGCAATTTCTTTCAAAAGGTTGAAAGAGAAATTACGAACGTTGGCAAGATGGGCCTTTTCCCTTTCCTAGTACGGTGGCAACGATTCAGAATCTTCATCTGGACTGGAGGAATCCGATGAGCTATAAAGCTCTTTTTCACAGATGTTCAGTTTGAGCCGGTCAACAGAGCCCCACTGAGTCTCCAGGCTCGGTTTCACGAAGGCCCTGCTACGTTGGGATGTTTGGTGATGAATGCTCTCCGGAGAAAACCCAGCACCGCGCTGTATATGGGCAGGTGACACTCAAAGCTCTGTGAAGATGAATTCAGTAATTAATTTGTGATCTACCATCTCGTGGCCAACTCGCAGCCCAAGCATATGGCGCCTGATATTCGCAGGAGACCTCCAATACAAGTACTAACCAGGCTTAACCCTGCTTAGCTTCGGATATCTCATTCGATGTTTTTCATGCACAGTGATTCAGTCATCGTGATGTGATGACGATGGTGCTGGTGACAGTCGAACACGTGAGTGGCTCGAATGGTAAGTGACCAAGATGAACGGGGGTTAGATCACACAAAGAGGGCGCTCACGTGCCTGTAGGATGGTACGCCAAGTAGGACTCCATATATGGGCCAGTAGGTTGCTGACCTGTATGTACGGTTTTGTTGGAGTTATTTCACGATGTGCCTGGGTGTTCTCCTGCAACTCCAGTCTCCTGTTACAGCCCTGAGCCACTGGGTGAGAGTTCCACATTCCTATGACAGGGGCGAGTCTATCTACAGAACAACCACTGTTAACTTCCTCACAAAGTGGTGCTCATTTGATCGAAACCAGAGAGATGATGGGCTGAGTCAATCTCTCCCCGACCACGATGTGAACTCGTAACCTTTCCATTGCGAGCCGCTCGCCTTGCCGACAAGCCGCCTGACCAGTGTCAGAGGGCAGCGATAAATCATCATCGTGGTCATCGTCAAATCATCGCGACCATTATCAACGACTCACGATCGTCATGGTCCTCAACGATTCACCACCACGACGACCGTCGTGCAGACGAGATGCAGCGACACCGGCGAGCGCGTCACTGCCTGCCTCGTGTTCGCGACTCTGTTCGCCAACCCCCCTCCCGCCACGCCAAGGTCCCGCGAAGGGCGGAGGAGACGGCGCTCAGAGGAGCCGCGGGGTCCCGGCCCCTGGAGCTCCGTTTGGACGTCGCGCGCCGTGATCCCAGGGAGACATCGGATACGCGTCTCTCTGTCACACTCGCGCACACACACAGGCGTCGTTTGTAACAGACTGTTGGGGCGAGTGTTGTTCGCGAGTATGAAGGCTGGCAGGGCACACGAGGGGGGAGGGTGACCAGCACCGCACCAGGTACTCAACTGAGGCTGAGTCTATTTAGGGGAGGCCCAGGACCGGTTCAGATAATCGTCACGAATGGTGATGGAGTCCGTAAACGGGAATTAAACTCGGCTCGCCTTGTTCGTAGCGCAGCGCGCGAACCGCTACCACACTACCGCTCCTCATCGGGCGCGCACACACACACACGTATACACACACGTATACACAACAACCGCCATTCGTCACTAAGTAGCGGTGACGTCACCACGACGCTTGTGCCAGGCTATGTGCACCTTGAGGCCACGTGAAGTGTCGAACGCCCGCTGGCAGGAGGTCACGGGGCAAACCCAGGTGCCACGGGTCGACTGACTGAGATGACTGAGATGACTGGTTGATGCACCATCTGTGCCCCCTACTGTGCCAACTTGCTGTGCTTTAGCCACCCGGCGCTCCGCTCGTTGTTGTGAGCGTCGCTCCTCCGCCCTCCGTTGTTGTTGGAGGGCGACTGCCTCCAACTGGCCAGCAGCGTCCTTCACGAGCTTCCTCCACAGAGGCCGATCTTGACACCGCTGGTACCATTCATCGGCAAGTCCACTCAGCTCCACATCCTCCCGTACCACATCACTCCATCTCTTCTCCAGCCCGTGTCGTGCCGGTTTAGCCCTCTCGATCCGGCCAAACAAAAGCCTCGCAACTCGAGCCGCACAGTTCGGACGCCAACTCCGCCCCAGCGGGGGCCCTCACCTTGCCACACACGTGACACCGGTGGGCAGTCCCAGACAAGGTGGCAAGTTCCGTGTTCTTGTTTTCGAAGCGATCGAGCTGAGCCGACCCTCGCATCGAGTCCGTGAGACGCAAGCAGACCCTGTGCCCCATGGCTTATTGGCAAGCGGATGATGACAGATTGTCCACGATGAGACTGCTGAGATTGGCAACCAAACGATGTTGCAGCGTCGTCATCGTCTCTGTATCGATGGCACCAGCACCCCAAGCAGCCATGTGACTCAAAATCCATCGGGACGCGAGCAGAAGGAGGAGGAGATGGAGGAGACTGTTCCACCGTGGACTCCCTCCCACCGTCTCATTCCCCAAGCTCTTAGACTAATAGCCACGCTCTCTTTAGGAAACGTGTTGACACTTATCTCTTACAACTTTGAGATGGCTAAATTGTTGCTGACCGCTTGGCGTTTTGGGCAGTGCTCAGAAACTTTTTACGAACATGGAATAATTATTGGTGGCTGGTCTAAGACTCGCGAGGCTTGAGAACCCGGTTCAATCACGGGCACG